CGAGTCCCCTTCCTCCTGTCCCCCGACCTCAGCGCCGGCCCCTCCGGCCTCGGCATCATGGGTGACGGAGGAGAGGGCGAGGATGAGGTTCAGTTTCTGCGGACGGTGCGTATCTGCGTTAGGGGGTCTCCGGGGCTACTTCTCGGGTTCCTCTGAGCTGCCTGTCCCGCTCGCTGGTGGTCTCTGACACTCGGGGTCTCTTCCTCTGTCCCTCCGGGTGACTGTCACTCTGTCTTTCTCAGTTTTTGTCTCTCTTCCACCCCCACCTATTTCACTACAGAGAATTAGCAGACTTTGGGGCTGCAGAATGGGGAGGGGGACCTTCGGCCTCCCTCTCTTCTGACTTTAGCGGCTTGTCCTGGAGAAGGGGACCTCTGAGGGAGCACCCTCTCTCACCACCCTGGAAGCAGGCACTCCTGGAAGGTGGTACTAATTCCTGAGCTTAATTTAGCAGTCCCCCCTTCTCTCCAACCTAGCCCTAATTCTCTTCTTGCTCCAGGCTCTGACCTATTTAAATTCTTGAGGAGGGGGCTGGGGTGAGCTGGAAGACCCAAGTCCTGTGAACCCCCACCCCTTGAGGGTCTTCTGGGGGGTCCCTCAGGTTCTGGGTCTTTCTTCCCCACTTTGGTTTTAGGGAGGAGGGTCAAATATGGCTGTTGATAATCTCCAGGCCGTGTCTTTCCCTATCCGTCTCTTTGGGTTGTCTCTGTGTCTGTCTCCCTGTCTCTGTCTTTGTCTTTGTTTCTTGGCTTCAGGTCCTCTGTGTTTCGCTGGCCTCTCTAGCTCTGTCCCCACATCTCTGATCCTCCACTGGGGGCAGGGATGGGAATTGGAACAACAGGTGTCTCTCCCAGAATAGCCACTCTTCTGGGGCTGGGCAGGGGACAGGGAGCGGATGGGGGGAGGAGCTGCCCGTCTTGGAGTCCTTCCCAACTTTCCCTCCCAGTGGATGTGGGGTGTGAGTATGGAAGGAGATGTTCTCTCTTTTGGGCCAGGTCTGCTGACCCTGCACTAGCCCCTCCCCTCCCCCTCTGGGCCCTAAGAAATGCTGACACAGCATTCCGGCCCCAGAATAGGACCCTGGTTCTACGGTCTGGTTTCCTGGGAGGGAGGAACAAACAACTGGGGCTGGTAATGAAGGGTAGGGACAGCTGAACATTTGGCCACAGGAGGGGGCCTAGCTTCACCCTAGACTCTTACCCCAGCTCAGTCCCTTAGCAGACACAATGGGTTGGGCTATCTTCTCCTCTGGGCTCTAATGAGGCCATGGCCAAGGCCATCAGCCCCTGAGTCCTTCTGAGGCATCTAATTATATCCTCGCTGCCCTATCTTCTGAGGTAGGGCCCTATCTTTATCTCTCTGGGAGATCTGAGGGAAACCAAGGTATGAGTGGAATCACTTGCCCAAGGTCAAGGCCAGGAAGTGTCATCTCTAGATGCCTCTGGGGCCCAGCCCTCCTGCTTTCACAAGAGGAAAACTGGGCTCGGACTTGCCAAGGTAGCCAGTGTTGGGTTCTAGAGGCCTGGCCCTGGCATCTCTTGGCCACAGACGGAGTGTGTTTTCCTGAACTTTATTGAGGTTGTGTGGTGGTTTTCTCTAAACTGTTATACCTCATTTCACCAGTAAGAAATATATTTTATATTGTAACGCAGTACATACACATATATTAGTTAAAAACCAACTTTGTTGAGGTATAATTGACATAATAATTGCACCTCTTTTAGGTGTTGCAGTTCAATGAATTTTGACAAACTCTACACAGTTATGTAACAAGCATCATAATTAAGACAAAACATTTCTTTTACCCCAGAAAGGTGCTTCTTGCTCTTTGCAGTAATTCACCCTGTCCATCTGCTTTATGTCACTATAGATTCCATCAGTCATTCTAGTGTTTCGTATGCAGTTTATGCTCATTTGTCTTGCTTCTTTTGCTCAGTGTAGTATTGTAGACATTCATCCTTGTAGCATGTATCAAAAGTTCATTCCTTTTTGGTGGCGTGTAATATTTCAATTGCGTGAATATAGTAATTTGTTGATCAGTTCACCTGCTGATGGACATCAGGCTGCCTCCCATTCATGTTATTATGGACAAATAAGGTGCATTCACACACACACACACACACACACACGCGCGCTCTCACACACACCTATTTTTAACTGAAACAAGTTTCATAAAATGTAGGTAGCCCTTAGAACATGACGAGCATGTTGGTATTTTTTGTTCTTACTCTACTTATTTCCTTTTCTAAGCATGATGGCTGTGGACCCCTAAACTCATTTCATTTCCCTTTGATGGGTGGCTACCTCTAGCCCCGCTCTGGCTGGGTTTCTCAAAGCTTGGCCTGGGTCAGAATCTCCTGGGGGCATGTTAATGGTCCAGATTTCCTGCTCAGGCAGAGCCAATGGATCAGGCTCTTGGTGCTGGGTGGAGGGTGGGAACTGGCGCCGCAGGGAAGCTGCATTTTAACCAGGTCACCTCCCTTCATTTGATGCCCGAGCAAATTAGAGAATCACTGGCGTAGCGATTAAGCCCCTGTCTCTGGTTCAGGCCTTGGCCTTGCCATTTGCCTGCTTCCCAACTTTGGGCAAGTAATTTTTCTTTTTCTCTCCCAGCTTTAATGTCCTAATCTGAAAAATGGGGACAGGGCTCACTTTGGCAGCAAATATACTAAAATTAACAATGGGGAGAAAAAAAATGAACCATAAGGACCCAAGGGACCGGTGCAGATACCTCTCTGAGCTCATCTCTTTCCTCTCTCCCCTGGCTCCTGCCGCTGCCACCATCTGAACCCCCTGGTTCTCCCCAACACTCTCGGCCCCTCCAGCCACAGGCCTTTGATCAGGCTGATTCTGTCTCATTATTTGGATAAGGTTTGTGGTTTGGGATAAAGTGTTAGGCTCAGCTCAAATGTCACCTCCTTGGAGAGGCGGCCACTTCATCCCCTCACTGATGTCATCCCTACCCTGGGGAATTTTTTCCATTACACTTATCACTGACATTTAAATTATGAACCTACTCACCTGCTTATTGCGTCTCCTCCACAGGATGTCAGCTCCATGAGGACAGGGTTCTGTCTGCTTTACTCGCTGCTCTACATCCAGCTTCTAGATCAACAGCAAATGCTCAATGGCTGTCTATCATATGGACATAAAGCCCTGAGCATAAGGCCTAGCAGACAGTAGTGCTTGGTAAATGCAAGCTGGATGATTCCTATGAGTGAACAGTGCCAAGATGTCGTGGTTGGGGATTACAAGACAAAAAAGTTGTGGGGCCTCCTGCCAACAGGTCCACCCTCCCTCCCTCCTCCCACGTTGGATGGACTGAGGGCTGCCTGTGTGGGTCAAAGCCCAGGACTGGAATATGTTTGTGTGATATGCTGGAAGGGCTGGAGGCTATGTGACCTCAGGCAGGACACCTAAGCTCCTTGAATGTTTCCTTAGCTAAGAGATAGAATAACCACTGCTTCCTTCAGCAGCTATGGGCTGTGGTCTCCATAATTTTTTATTGAGACCTCTGTTAACAAAAGCAAGGAGCACTCCCCATGGACACTTGTACTAGTTATAATGGCAGATATGGGCTACCAGAGTCCTGTATTAAGAGGTGGTCTAGTGTTCCAAGAGTGTGGCATACAGAACCACAGAGTTGGGATCAAATACCAGGTATGCCATTATGTGAACCTGTGGCCTCAGTTTCCACAGGTTCACATACTAGGACTTACCTCACAGGGTTCTTGTGAGGATTCAATGAGTTAATACACGTTAACTTCTTGGAATGGGACCCAGTACATGAAAATGCTCCTATTTTACTTACAATTTTAAATTTTTCAAAAAAAATATGTCTTTATTGATTTCAGAGAAAGGAAGGGAGAGGGAGGGAGAGAGATAGAAACATTAATGATGAGAGAGTCATTGATTGGCTGTCTCCTGCATGCCGCCTACTGGGGATCGAGCATGCAACCCGGGCATGTGCCTTGACTGGGAATCAAACAGATTTCCTGGATCATAGGTTGATGCTCAACTGCTGAGCCACACCAGCTGGGCTAAAATTTTAATTTATAATCTTGAAAAGTTGCAAGGTCAGTTTAAAGAACTCCCATACAGCCTTCAGCCATTCTCTCCAAAGTGAGGATTTGCTATATCTGCTTCCTCTCTCTCCCCC